AAGTGTACTTTATGACCGGATTTTGTGAGCGAATGAAAGTGGACGAAGAGCAGAACTGGTCAGCTCCGTGTAGTAAAACTGTGTTGGTAGTCGTGGTAGAAAAGGGGCAGAGATCGCAAGATGACTATGGCATGCAAACATACCAGGGGTTTTCAGATGTATTGAAAACTACTCTATTTTTAGTACCCGAAGCAGCAATGACATTCTGGTCTGAACTGAGTGAAGCACAAGGTGATAATCTATTTTGGAGGATATTGATGAAAGCTCAGGGAATGTTTTAAGAAAGAGAACAGTGTTGGATGGTGTCATCGGCAAAAGCATGAGTGGGATTAGGAGTCTGAGATCAAAGATCGTCTATCTATAGAAGGATGAGTCGTAGTTAACTGGTAATGCTCTCGAAATGACTCCATCAACACGAACAAAGACTCACGTATCACAACGGAGGCCTAGTATCCAAGTGATCGAGCACAAAAGTTTTGCCAAGAACGCCCCCTCCCTATGCCAAACAAGGTCAAACTGTTTGGAAGTATTGAGCAGACCAGATGCGACTTGGTCAATGGCGGTTGATTAGATATGCAACAAGGATGCCTACGGGTCGCCAGTGGATCTGTGACAGCGGAAGCCATGTTTGCGATCATTGAGAATTTCGTGTTGTTCCAAGTGACATGAAATGCTCTGTTAGACACTAAATACATGACCATTGAGAGGGACAAGGTAAACGACATGAAATGGTAATTGTCAGGATCAGGGGAAGCACGCTACTTATGGTGAGGAAAGATGTGAACATTTCTTCCACAACTTGAAAACACCGTATGAGAGAAATCGAGAGAAATCTCTGACCTGAAAGTCTTCAACACGATTGTTAGGAGGAACTCTGGATTCGGTGAGCTGGAGGTATTTATCCAGTGTTACGCAAATATTCCTGGTTGGGCTCTTGAAACAAACAAAATGTAAGCTCAGTAAATGTTAAATAGATGTGCAGTAGTATTGGAAGCCAAATGAGAGGCAAATACCTAGGCCTTTTATGAGGTTCCGGGACCAAATCGCCAGGAACGGTGGTGGTGGTGGTGCAGTGGTTTAGTCGCTGTCACCTACGTGCTTTGGCGCTTATGGTCCGAGGTTCGAGCCCCGCCCCCCGACTTTGGTGGTAGGCAGCTTTGCCGTTGTCTGGTTCAATACCATACCTAACCTATCGAGGCCTTATGTGGTTCGCCACTCCAAGTCCTAGGGGTTAGGTTGCCGGTTTCTATCATTGAACAACAGGTCCTCGTGGCTATGGGGTTTACCCGATCTGCTGTTCGTCACAGTAAGGTGTCGTAAAAAAACCAGGGGAGAGGGTGAAGAACAAAATTTACGTGAATCTGATTTGATGGGAGGTCGAAAACGAACCGTTAACTGAAGAATAGTTAGCCCGTCTGTGGGCCTTGTGACGAACAAATCAGTATCAGGCATCTTGTACAAATAAGCGGTGCGAGCAGTGTCAAGGGAACAAACGCCAAAATTGGAGATCGTTCATTTTCGCAACCGACTGCTTGCATTGGAAAACCATTTCTCGGTTTTGGAAAAGTGTGAGATAAACATGTGCCCTAACTCCGGAGACCAAGTGTATTTATACATATCTTTATTTTTACGGGGTATGTGGTAGCTGAATTTGCACCAGATGGCGCAATAAAGCAATTTCTTGACTCTTTGAGGTAGTCCTTGCAAAATCGAAGGTTGAAGTGGATGACTTTGGAGAAAAAAGGAAAATCACGCCAGGGGTAGAACGCCAGAAAGTCACGGACAACGATCAAATCAACACCGTTTACAACGACAAACGCTCCAGCAATATCGATATTAGCCTACATGTTTGAGCATTAGGGTGAACAATTCGCTGTCATAACCAATTTACGAATAAATTTAGCTGGTTGCGACACAGGTTGTGAATATCTCGCAGTCATCTACCGCAGTGTACTTGTCTGCAGTTGAAGCTCCGTAGTGGACAGAGCCATATGCCGACAAGTAGATGACATTGAGATGAGGTATGGTAAACTTCCTTATTACTTTAAATCGAGCATGAGTTTGTTGTCTTTCAAGTGACGGGAACTTGGAGAATATTAGCATTCGCGTTATGATTACTTAACAGATCAAACTGCTTTATGACGTCTATGCAGTCATACCGAACTATCCGGGTTAAATTGGTTCAAATTATTGCTCCTCNAAACAAATCTATCATTCCCCAACCCCCTTTACTGTTCGTATTCATTCCGTGCAAACTGCAAGCTTAGGATCAATCGGCGAATTTTGTTCTATTGAACTAAATATCAAACGCCGTTGAATGCGCACCGACACAATCAGTCGGTACATGCTGTTTGTGTGCCTAATCCGCTTGGACGTCATCAGCTGTTTGGGCGCTTATTCGTCTGCTCTTGCGGACACACAAGCACGTGTACGGGGAAGAAAAAGTCACTCAACAGAATCCGGTTACCTAGTTCGACCGCCTATAACAAATTCGAGGTACCAGAAAACTGCAATTCGCGGGGGAAAAACAACACTGAAATCGAACGGATACCAATTACGATCGAACTGCGCAATCACACATTAGACAGCTGGGTTGGTTGGATTCGCACGTACCAGAAGAAAGTTACGATCTAACGCCGTGAACGCTTCTGGCTCCGATCAGATTGCTGTACGAACTTCACTGAGTTTTCGACAGTAACTATTCATGCAGCGATATTTTATCTTAGCTTTTATGAAGTGGAGTCCATGGAAGCTTGCCATATACAGATAAATGATGATCGCGTATTCTATGATTCTCAAACCCTTGGGGCACACAGAGAAATAAAAAAAACGTTAGGGTAAAATAAACAATCTACACCGTGCACCACCCCGATTGTGGGTACGCGGTGGTTGGAATCTCAATGTCATCGCCTAACTCTCTCCCTGGGCTGTATCACACGGAAGTCCACTGATCGTTCACTTTCTTCTTCGTTTTTCTGTTTGAGTAAGGGAAACAAAAAGTAAGAAGCTGGACAGTAATAGGGACGATCTTTTGGAGCAATGAGATTAACAAAATCAAACGTATGATCTTAGTTTGCAGTTTTGCAGTGATCGAACCGTCCCCATATGGCACTTTCGTTCCAGTAAAAAAGGAGATTGAACACGACATTTGGTAACATGCTATTTGTATCCACAAACTGAGTTGTGAAAGCACTATGTTCAAACTCAACTATTCCCGGTTTCTAAATGTAAAGGCAACTCTGTTATCACTGAGCATAATACGGCACTAATTTCATGAACGCTTTATTTCGCTCACCGATTCATAACCTATGAACCCTCTATATTAAAAAACACGTGTATTGCTCAGCTGTCGTGTGTTCAGGGAAAAGAAGTTTTCTGAATACAAACTAATTGTTAATTGGCAAAACGTTTTATCAGGGGAAAACCCTTGAAGACGTTTTTGTGTATTTTACATTTTCTGACGGACAGACAGATAAGTGAAACTGATGCCCGACCAGATGCTAAAAAATCAGGAATAGACTAACTGAAAGCGTAAGAAATACACACCAGACCGAACGACAGACAAGCAGGTCACCTGAACTTTTCTTTCATTCACCCAAAATAACGCACAAACGGCTATGCTCACACGTTTTCTAGACTGGCGGCGAACTGTTCTCAACCAAACTGCCCAGTTTATTGAAAAAAGATTTACAACACAAGCGTTATGCTTACTATTGAAAGGATAGAGCCTTAACACACGATACTACTTGGTCCATTTACATTCGCATTAGTATGGACTACGGTTCTAACAAGTTTCACCAATGCTCATTTCCAGTTTTGTGTACTCAGCTACGAATCAAAGAGTACCGTCGTGTTCATAAGTTACATTGCGTACTAGCAGACTCTAGATTCTCCTGCTCGCTGCATCTCGTCGTTACGAAAAATATAGTTCATCCCGGTCGAGATCACCAGTCTAATTCTATACTTTCCTAGTATATACATACTTTCTCTAATGGAACCCAATGCAAATGGTGGTGAGCCGGAACCACTTATCTACCATCCCTTTTCTAACCAATTATCTTCATCAAACAAACTCTATGACCTCCGACTTACAACGCTCGCTAAACTGAAATTCTATACAGAACATTACTACTCGCTTTTTGCACGATCTATTTGTTCCTAAATTACATGTGAATGCTGATGCTAAAAAGTTCATTGTTGCATGAAAATAGCTATTTTGACCCCGGACAGTCAAATCAATTGCATGCTAGAACGTGTGCGTGAAAGCGCCGTTTAATGTGACAACGGAAAATAGTATAGAAATCAGAACATTGCCAAGAGAGTAGGGGATGGGATCCGGGTTGCAAATGTACAAAGTGTGTGTGGGGGGGCGGTTTTGTTCTCCAGACAGAAAAATGGGCTGAGGGAAGATGATAAGAGTTAGCTGATGAGAATGAGTGTGACAGAGAATGAATAATCTGACGGATGAATGAATAAAGGCGAAAATATAGTTTAAACGAAATCGACAAAGCACGCAGGCATCACAAGGCTGTACAGAAATGTGAACGGGGGTTGGGCGAGCGCTCGTGTAGTCGAATGACAGTTAAAGGTGAGGTTGTGAGAGGCGGAAGGAGCAACAAATGAAACGCGATAACGAAGCTAACTTGATGATTATGTGGACCAGATAGACCGGCTGTTTTCCAATATTATATTTCAAGACTGAAAAGTAAATAATGAGATGGAGTGGAGATAGGCGATGTGAGAGAAACTCTGGCACCAATTATGAGGATGGGGCTTTCGAGAAATGCATTCGGCAAAATAGATGTGAAGCGGTTGAAGTTAGAGAACCGTATGAAAGGCCAATCGCACTTTTATTGATCTATACTGCGTGTGCGAAGGGTTTAAACAATTTGAAATTACGGAACACATTTTAGGTGACGTTGGAATTGTGCCGCTGGATATAACTCCGGCAAAACAATGCCCGGTTACATTCTAACACAAGGCCTGTACGCTGTATCACCTCAATCCATTGAAGAAGTTTGCCCACTCGGTCTTGGAGATTGATCGATCGCAGAGTACGGCGGAGGATCCGTCGAGTTCATCTGAAATATATCCGGATCTTCGATGATCAACACAGGTTGCAGCAAACGATTGCCACCAGCACAAATCAGTGCGGAATTAGAAGCACGTGGAGATGGACGTCTGGTGCGAGTCTCGGAAGAACGATTATTACGACGGGGTGAGTTACGATGCCAAGTAAATATACGCGACAAGTACCGCCGTGTGATAGATCGATCAAGCCGTGTGTGTTCTGAAGGTCGGGTGCTTCGCGATCGGGTAGTGCCACCAGCGGAACTCCGATGTGTATGCGTAACACGTCTATCTCCATGACCTGAACGGCGCGGTGTGTTGAAGGTGGACGGACGTTTTTGAAGAGAGCTATAAACTGGCGGGAAAGGTGGGAAGATCATGGGAGGTGAATCACTGTTGGGTGAGGGCATCACATAAATAAGTGTACTTCCAGGTGGACATGATGGAAGCCCGGCTACCACGGATGAACTGTTCGTCACAGATCCATTTTGGTTACCACTAGAATTCCGATTGTTTAACGTACTAAGTGAGGTAAACAACAAATGTGGTCGGTCCGTCGCATTGTGTCTGCCATCACGGCGATGCCGACGCAAGTGGGGTTGAAATATCTGCCACAAACGACCAGAACCAGTGGGGTTCGTGGTGGTTGGTGGTTCAGTAGGAGACATACTGATTGTGTTAGTAGCCGATTGGCACGATTCATTTGTGATCATTGATTCCCGATCCACCAGAGTGGCTGCAGCA